AACAGCCCAACTGAAGAGAAGCCCTGCAAGTGTGTGCAGTGTGGGCTGTGCTTTTCTCAAACATCTGAGCTTCTTAAACATCAGCAAATCCACACTGGAGAGAAACCTTATAAATGTCTGGAGCGTGGCAAATCATTTAATCAAAAATTGATCCTTAAGAACCATGAAAAATTTCACACAGGAGAGAAACCTTACAAATGTGGGCAATGTGGGAAGGGCTTTACTCAGAAGTCACAGCTTCAGGTCCATGACAAGATTCACACAGGGATAAAATCTTATAAATGCTTCGAGTGTGGAAAACGTTTCGCTCGAAGTTCATCTCTTTGGCGTCATAACAAAACACACAATGGGCAGAAAAATGAAATGTGCCTAGAATGTGGGAAATCTTTTTCCCAGAAATCACACCTGGTGCGACATCAGAGAATTCACACTGGAGACAGACCCTATGAATGCCCAGAATGTAAGAAACGATTTGTGGATTCTTCTGAACTTCGGCGACACCAGAAGGGGCACAGAGGAGAGAAACCCTACAAATGTGGGGAGTGTGGAAAAAGTTTTATTTCAGCAACACAGGTTCGGATTCATCAGAGAATCCACACGGGGGAGAAACCATACAAGTGTGTAGAATGTGAGAAATATTTTGCTCAAAAGTCTGGACTTTGGGAACATCAGAAAATTCACACAGGGGAGAAGCACTATCAATGCATTGAGTGTGGAACATTTTTTCGTACAACATCTGGCCTCAGATGTCATGTAAAAGTTCATACGGGGGAAAAAAATTACAAATGTTTAGACTGTGGGAGGGCATTTGCTTGTTCATCATCCCTTAGAAATCACAGCCGCCTAATGCATATAGGAGAGACGCCCCATAAATGCTTGGAGTGCAATAAATGTTTCTCCAGAAAAGCAACTCTTTTGAAACATCAGAGAATTCATACTGGAGAAAAACCTTATCAATGTCTGGAGTGTGGGAAATCTTTTCCTTACAAAGAATGTCTTAGAAACCATGAGAGAATTCACACAGGAGAGAAACCTTACAAGTGTGCGCAATGTGGGAAGGACTTTACTCGCAACTCACAGCTTCGGGTCCATGAGAAGATTCACACCGGAATAAAATCTTATAAATGCCTTGAGTGTGGAAAATGTTTCACTCAGAATTCATCTCTTCGGAGCCATGAAAAAACACACAGAGGGGAGAAAAGGAAAAAGTGCCTAGAATGTGGGAAATCTTTTTCCAGGAAATCAAGCCTGGTGCGACATCAGAGAATTCACACCGGAGACAGACCCGGGCTGACCCACTACAAAAAAATGTTCAACATTCAGTGCCTAGATAGGGCTTTTCCCCTGTGTGCATTTTCTGATGTTCACAAAGTCCAGCCTTTTGAGCAAAACATTTGGGCTGACCCACTACAAAAAAATGTTCAACATTCAGTGCCTAGATAGGGCTTTTCCCCTGTGTGCATTTTCTGATGTTCACAAAGTCCAGCCTTTTGAGCAAAACATTTGGGCTGACCCACTACAAAAAAATGTTCAACATTCAGTGCCTAGATAGGGCTTTTCCCCTGTGTGCATTTTCTGATGTTCACAAAGTCCAGCCTTTTGAGCAAAACATTTGGGCTGACCCACTACAAAAAAATGTTCAACATTCAGTGCCTAGATAGGGCTTTTCCCCTGTGTGCATTTTCTGATGTTCACAAAGTCCAGCCTTTTGAGCAAAACATTTGGGCTGACCCACTACAAAAAAATGTTCAACATTCAGTGCCTAGATAGGGCTTTTCCCCTGTGTGCATTTTCTGATGTTCACAAAGTCCAGCCTTTTGAGCAAAACATTTGGGCTGACCCACTACAAAAAAATGTTCAACATTCAGTGCCTAGATAGGGCTTTTCCCCTGTGTGCATTTTCTGATGTTCACAAAGTCCAGCCTTTTGAGCAAAACATTTGGGCTGACCCACTACAAAAAAATGTTCAACATTCAGTGCCTAGATAGGGCTTTTCCCCTGTGTGCATTTTCTGATGTTCACAAAGTCCAGCCTTTTGAGCAAAACATTTGGGCTGACCCACTACAAAAAAATGTTCAACATTCAGTGCCTAGATAGGGCTTTTCCCCTGTGTGCATTTTCTGATGTTCACAAAGTCCAGCCTTTTGAGCAAAACATTTGGGCTGACCCACTACAAAAAAATGTTCAACATTCAGTGCCTAGATAGGGCTTTTCCCCTGTGTGCATTTTCTGATGTTCACAAAGTCCAGCCTTTTGAGCAAAACATTTGGGCTGACCCACTACAAAAAAATGTTCAACATTCAGTGCCTAGATAGGGCTTTTCCCCTGTGTGCATTTTCTGATGTTCACAAAGTCCAGCCTTTTGAGCAAAACATTTAGGTGGTCTTTTGCAGCATCAGAGAATTCACACTTGAGAAAAATTTATTGGTGCTTAGAATGTGGCAAACGTTTCTCCCGCTAATCAGAGAAATGTTTTGCTCAAAAGGCTGGACTTTGTGAACATCAGAAAATGCACACAGGGGAAAAGCCCTATCTAGGCACTGAATGTTGAACATTTTTTTGTAGTGGGTCAGCCCTTAGAAGTCATATGAAAGTTCACACAGGGGAAAAGATTACAAATGCTTGTCGGTCCCTTAGAAATCACAGCTGCCTAATGCGTATAGGAGAGACGCCCCCTAAATGCTTGGAGTGTGTTTTTCTCAGAAAGGTGGTCTTTTGCAGCATCAGAGAATTCACACTTGAGAAAAATTTATTGGTGCTTAGAATGTGGCAAACGT